GCCGTTTGGATAGTAGACGGTAACCTTGGCCTTGTTGATGGCCTGAGGAGTCATTCCATAAAGATACTCACCAGCTTCGGGCGCCTCTTCGGACAAGCGCGGCTTTGGACTGTAGGGCCAAACTCCATTGGGGCTGCCAGGAGGGCCGTGGCTGCCCGTGACATCAGGGTGCCAGCTTGTCACCCAAACGACGGCACCGTCTGTAGTGGTAGTCCAGTCCTGGTAGAGCGGCCAGTGCGTGTGCTTGGTGACGTCCAGCTTCTCCGTGACCTGCCAAGGTCAGCTTACAGAGCATATTCAAGACATGCTGCTCCGCACCGCCCTTCATTTGCACACCCCGCGCCTCGTTGCAGTCACCATCGAGTTCCACGAGCCAGCGCGTGCGATCCGGCTTTTCGTAGCCGAAAAGAAATCGGGCTTCCGGGCCGCATGTCGGGTTTTGCTCGGAAGTCCCCAGTGGTGCCAGGCGCAGCATGCGCCCCGGTGCCCCATCGCCACAGTTGCCACCACTGGCTCCACAGGGCATTTTCGCCACTGCCTCATCGATGACCTTCCAGATGTTGATCTCTCCGAGCCGTGTGATCTGTGCGCAAACGTTGCCCTTGTCAGAAGGAAACGCCAGGATCCAATCCTCCCCACATGGCCTAATGGCATTGGCTTGCAAGGCTTTGTCGGAGTCGTCGTCGCCGTAGCCATAATCATAGCCTTCATCTTGTGGGAACTTCAAATCCATGCCGCCGCGGTGCCCCACATACCGGAAGTTACCCGCGGGCGCCATCCCGATGGGCTCCTGCGCCAGGCCATACTGCTGCATTCTTGCTGGGCCATACTCGTGCTTGTAAAGGCCAATATCCTTCAGAAGCGGGTGGTATGCCCAGGCCGCCGACTTCTGGTGATCGCCTGTGCCCGTGCGGTGGTGGTCCCGCCAAGGACCATCTGCTTCCTGGCGGGGCTCCACTATGTCCCGAGGCACTGGGTACTTGTAGGCTGCGTACTCCTCGTCGCTGATCCCTGGTGCATCGCGGTGGTAGGTGTGCATGGCATAGCCGGTGTGGTGATCTACAGTGGCCCCATACCAGGCCGTCCACATCCGTTGTTCCGGGGCATACAGAAGATAGCCGTAGCCTGCGGAACGCTGGGCCCACCATGCTGACGTGGGGTAGCTGCCCCATATCCCTGTGTTTGGGGCAGTGACCGTCTCCTGGTATTGCTTGCCAATCTGCCACGGCAACCTGTGCTGCTCCATGGTGCTGCTGTTCACTTCGCACACAGCCACCACCATGGCCGCTTTGTCCAAGTGGCTGTTCTTGTTGTCCACCCAAGGTTGCCAGTACTTGGCGCAGATTGTGCCCAGGACGCCGTCCTCTGTCATGTCGATGCCGCCGGCACGGACGAAGCCTTGAAAGGCAAAGCTCTCCTCCAAGACAGGTACACCTTTCCAGGGCACCTTGAGCTTGCTGATGTAGACTCGGCCCTCGCTGCCAGGCGCAACGTCAGGCCTGCCGTACGGAATGTCTGCAGTCCAGGAGAAGTACACATAGTCCGGCCGCACCTTGTCAGAAACCGTGCTCATCTGGGAAGGCCCCCGGAAGAGGTTGCCATGTCGAGCCGGGCCGGCGATGAGCTCGGGCAGGCACACCGTGGAGACGGTCAGGCGATCCGACACCTGCAGATGGTCCTCATAGCAGCCTCAGCCAAGCAGCTCCGAGGCTCCGACAGGACATGAACTGCAATGGTCTTAGCATGTCTAAGCCGAACGCCTCCGACTCCGCCTGCTTTTGTCTGTAGCTTTTTGACTTTGGGTGTACCTGGCTCTGAGTGTCGCATAGAAAATCCAAGAAGCCGAACTGGTCCAGCTCGGGGCTGATGCTGCAGTGCTCACCATGGTAGCCATTGGTACAGGTGCAGACGCCAGTCTCGTTGCAGAAGCCCCCGAAGGGTTCGTTGCAGTTCACTGCTGCGCAAACGCCAACCTCACAAGAATCGCCTTCCACTCCTTCATCGCAAGCACAAGCCAAGAGGCTCTCCGGCTCCTCCGTTTCAAATTGGTTCGGGAGCAGCGATGTCCACCTCGCCCCCCATCCGCCCTCCAATGTTCTGTCATAGAAACTCGAGGCAGTGCACAAGCCCTTGCCACAGAACCTCGGGGCAAAGCCGGGGCAAACCGAGTGAATTTTAAAAGCATTGACGAATTTTGGTAGTGTCCTCGCCTGCCCTCGCACTCGCCACAGCCCTCCGTGGACTTGACAAACTCCAGGGTAGAGAACCTGGCCTGCAGAAGTCGTCAGGTGGTGCTGGCGATTGCAG